ACATTAATTGGTTGCCTCCTGTAGGACCCCAACAGGGGCCGGGATTTGAACCGACAACCCAGGTACATGCCCTTGACCAGAAATCAAGCCTAAGAACTTTTGCTCTGGGGGGGCCGATGCTCCAATCTCTGAGCCAAACTGGCCAGGGCCACCCTCTTTCTTTTTCAAATAAGATTAATGTATATATGCTCTCATAAGAACTTAAAGTAGATTGAGAGCAAATCTCTTTTGAATTCCTCTCACGTCTCCAGAGGTTCCCACTGCATTTAGTATGTTGAGTTCTGCTTCTTTGCAGTTTTACATATGTATGTGCAGACTCCCAGAACTAAAGTGGTATTGTGCGGGCTTTCCCTAAAACAAATGGTATCGTGACATAGGCATCATCCTCAGAGTTGCATTATTAACAAAATGTTACAAAGATGTATTCTCAATCGGGCATGAAGATCTCCCTCCTTCACTATGATTGACCCAGACAGAGAATTCTGTAGTTTGGGCATGCTGTGTTTCATTTAGCCAACTATCTCTTGAGGGGCATTTAGCTTGATTCCAGTCTGTTGCTCTTGAAAACAAAACACTGCACTGAAACTCCTAGAGGTAGAGTTGCTGGCTCTGAGCCCCTATACCTTTCTTTTTCACTGACTTCCCCTCCCAGCTACCTGATATTCAACGTTATCCCCACGCTGGCTGACATCATCATTGGCATCATCTACTTCAGCATGTTCTTCAACGCCTGGTTTGGCCTCATTGTGTTCCTGTGCATGAGTCTTTACCTCAGTGAGTACTGCTTGGTGAAACCAGCTTCCTGAACTCTCCAAGGACTCCCTTGAACATGAGCTCTGATCCCACTTGGGTACCCAGTTTGGGAAGCGGTAGATTAGTGAACTTGCATAGTCTGCTGCTGCTCCCCAACATGGTGGGTGGGCATGCTTCTCTACCAAGGGAACCTTAGCTCAGCCTGTGTGGATGACCAGAGCATCTTGGGCATCTTAGGTGCCCATTGCGGATACGGGTCAAAGAGAGACCTCACTATGAAACATGCAGCTTGCCTTGCTTTGTTCACCAAAAGCATTTTCACACATGAGGCTTTGTGCAGGCTGCAGAGGCATCTTGGACACAGCCCCTTCCCTCAGGGAGCCTAGGGCTCTCCCTGGGCCATAGCGTAGGGTTAGTGTATAGTTGGCAACAGACATACACATGTGATCTCTGCTGTGGGAGTGATGTCTTGATCTCTTCTCCTTTCCCTTCCTCCTTTCACTCTAGCCCTGACCATTGTGGTCACTGAGTGGAGAACAAAGTTTCGTCGTGATATGAACATACAGGAGAATGCTACTCGGGCACGAGCTGTGGACTCTTTGCTAAACTTTGAGACGGTAACAGAGACCTCAGTGGCAGTGGTGTAAGGCATGGAAATGTGGAGGAGTGTGCCTGGGACCACTGGGGCTGCTGAGGAGCTGGGGGGTGCGAGACATACTATTAAATTAGGAAGGAAGGATTAGGGATCTGGAGGCAACGATCCAGGTGCTAATGCTGCAGCCATGTCCAACAATGGTGCTTTGAATTCATCAGGTGAAGTATTACAATGCGGAAGGTTATGAAGTGGATCGCTATCGAGAGGCCATCATTAAATATCAGGTGAGGATGCTAGTTTGAGGCCTACTGACAGCAATGGCCTGGCCTTGTGGAATTGCCAGGGCTGAGAACAGTAAAATTTGGGCTATGAGGTTGAAGGTGCCTCGGTCCAGGTTTGGTGTTGGTCAGCTCATATGTGACATTCCTCTCTCCCATGTTATTTCCACAGGATTTGGAGTGGAAGTCAAGCGCTTCACTGGTTTTACTAAATCAGACTCAGAACCTGGTGATTGGACTCGGGCTCCTCGCTGGCTCACTGCTTTGTGCATACTTTGTCAGTGAGCAGAAGCTACAGGTGAGGGAATTGTGCTGGGGACAGGAAAGAGGGACCTGGGGCCTATGTCCGGGCCACCAGGCTCCTGGGTGGGAAGTAGAGAGATGACAGGAAGTGGGCAGGGCGACAACCTGAAGGCTTCTTGTGACATGGTCTTCTTCCCTGGATCTCCACAGGTTGGGGACTTTGTGCTTTTTGGCACCTACATCATCCAACTATACATGCCCCTCAACTGGTTTGGCACCTACTACAGGTAACCTGATCCCTGGTCCTCACCTGTCCAATGCATTGTCATTTCCCCAGCTCTTCAGAGGGACTCCAACCATTACTCTTCTTGCAGGATGATCCAGACCAACTTCATCGACATGGAGAACATGTTTGACCTACTGAAGGAGGAGACAGAAGTGAGTGAAGAGAGAGTGGGGGTTTGGGGGAGTGGGAGCCTACATGGCGTTTCTTGCGTCTGGAGAATACCAGACCTGTAATAGCACCACACATTGGTGACACTCTCCCAGGTGAAGGACCTTCCTGGAGCAGGGCCCCTTCACTTTCAGATGGGCCGGATTGAGTTTGAGAATGTGTACTTCAGCTATACCGATGGGTGAGCCCCTCCCCTTTTTCCATCCCATGACCCCATTTCTCACTGTCCACTTACACACTGCCTTCCTGCCTGTCATCCCTGCTTCTCAGTCATCCCTGCTTCTTGTGAAGAGAGCCCAAGCAGGGGAGGGTCAGGGCCCGGTAGTAGCCCTGGTGATGGAAGGGGACACTGGGTGTATAGCAGGCCTACTGACCACACCCGCTCTTCCTTGCAGGCGGGAGACGCTGCAGGATGTATCCTTCACTGTGATGCCTGGACAGACCCTGGCTCTGGTAAGAGGAGACCCAGCCACTTGACCCAACCTCCTTGATCTTCCTTTATTCCAGTGCCCATGGTAGCTTGTGACCCAGGCTACAAGTCAGAGTCCTGTCATGACTGGTCACAGGAGTGAATGTGGCAGCCTCCATGGACATTGGTGGCCTCTTGGAGAAAAAGCCTTAAAAGTCAATGGGCCTAAGAATGGTTTCCTTCTGTTTCCAATGTAACAGGTGGGCCCATCTGGAGCAGGGAAGAGCACAATTTTACGTCTGCTCTTTCGCTTCTATGACATCAACTCTGGCTGCATCCGAATAGATGGTCAGGACATTTCACAGGTGAGGTTGTTGGGAAGAAACTGTCATTTAGGAACCTGTGTGTAAAAGAATGGCAAGTGCTGAGCATCCAGGGAGAAGGAGATGTCACCTCTGCCAAAAGTTGGTGCAGAAGACCTTAGCCTTTCTAGCGCCATCTGACCTACACAGTAAGAGTCATGAGAATGACTGATACGGTGCCGTACAGGGTACAAAGATCTACAGAAGTCTAGAGAAGCAGGGAGAGAAAATGAATTTTCTCTTTATTGATGGGGATACAGACTCAGAGAGGTTGAGTGATTTGCCCATACAGCCAGGGTTTGGGGTGGTGGTGGCAGGAATTTTACACAGGGCCTTTCATCCCATGTGCTTTCCACCAGCCCATCCTACCTCCCAGGTCTGGGGGGATCTCACAGGCCAGGGCATGTGGTCTCTTGGCCCCAGGTGACTCAGATCTCCCTCCGGTCTCACATTGGAGTAGTGCCCCAGGACACCGTTCTCTTCAATGACACCATTGCCAACAATATTCGCTATGGCTGCATCACAGCTGGGAATGACAAGGTGGAAGCTGCCGCCAAAGCTGCAGGCATCCATGATGCCATTATGGCTTTCCCTGAAGGTGAGCTTCCCTGGTCCTTTGGCCCTGTTACTCCCTCTGACCTCTGTTCCATCCTTTCCTTGCCTCCTCTGGTCACAGAAACCAGGTTTACCATGTGTGACTTGAGGGAGATGGGCAATATCCACAGGGTATGACACTCAGGTGGGCGAGCGGGGACTGAAGCTGAGCGGTGGGGAGAAGCAGCGCGTTGCCATCGCCCGCACCATTCTCAAGGCCCCTGACATCATTCTGCTGGATGAGGTGAGGGCCCTGGGAAGCCTTCACCCCTCCCTCCTGCCCTGCCTGTGCCCATACCATTCCTGCTGGGCACTGTTTTCCATCTGGGAGAGATATCATGAATCCATGTTTCACAAAACATCTTCCAGTTCTCAAGCGCAAGCAAGGTTTTTTGATACCCGAGGCCTCAGCCAGCAGCTTGCATCCTCCTTCCCCTGGGGATTTGGGTGGCAAGGGCAGTTTTACTCAGACCCTCTCTGTAGGCAACATCAGCATTGGATACATCTAATGAGAGGGCCATCCAGGCTTCTCTGGCCAAAGTCTGCGCCAACCGCACCACTGTCGTAGTGGCACACAGGTACAGGACTGGGGCAGCAGGCAGCAGGGCCCACTTTTGGTGGTGTGGTAGGTAACTGGTCTCTGACTTCTCAGGCTTTCAACTGTGGTCAATGCTGACCAGATCCTCGTCATCAAGGATGGCTGTATTGTGGAGAGAGGACGGTAAGGGACACCGCAGGATAAACAGGGCTGGGCCTCTGAATTGTATGTCCAGGGTATGGTTGTGAAGTCCCAGGGGTTTCTGGATGAGCTCTCTCTCACCAAACCCCCGTCATCTCTGTGGGCTGGTGGTGAGGACTCTTGTGGTAAAGCTGATACTGGGACTTACACTTTCCTTCTTGCCCCAGGCATGAGGCTCTGTTGTCCCGAGGTGGAGTGTATGCTGATATGTGGCAGCTGCAGCAGCAGGGGCAGGATGAAATCTCTGAAGACCCCAAACCCCAGTCTAAGGCATGGTGACCAAAGTTGTAGCCATTTCTTTCCCAAAGGGTAACTCACAGGGTATAAGATGTATCCTTCTTCCCTGGCATATTTCATCTTGGTCTTGGGGTGCTATGCTAGCTACAGTGAGGGAAAAGGACCTTTCAATAAAGCACTTTTTTTGGGAAATAAAAGTGTGGACTGTGCTAGGATCACTATGGCTTTGTGGTGTTGCATACTATAGTATGCCTCTATCCTTACATCAGGTGAGCATTCCTGACAGGGCTCTACTGGTTTTGGTTGGAAGAGAAAGAAACGCACCACTTGGATGTGTTATTAACTACCAATATCCTTTATTCTTCCCAGGGCCCTCCCTGTCCCTACACATGGGGGCAGTCCCAGTGTAAGGAGGATGACATGATGCAGGGAGTTGAGTGGGGCCTAGCCAGCGTCCTTCAAGGGCTCAACCAGGGAACAGTTCATAGTTGCTCTCTCCCACGCAGCTAGAGAGGCCAGTAGGGCCTTCTGTAGGCTCAGTTCCACAAGCTGTTTCTCTTGATGCTCCCTGGAAACAGCCTCTACGTCACTCCTTGTCTTCACTCCAGGCTGCTCCTGGCCTCCTCTCCCTGTGAACCCTAGAGACGTGAGGGCCACAGTCCTCCTCAGATGAGCCTCCCTCCCCTAGCCCAAGGCCCTAGCACAGGCTGCAGTTGGACGGCTTCAAGCTGCGACTTTGGGCCTGCAGCAAGGAGAGGGGAAGGAGGGGAAGATAGTGTGTGATGTCAAGGAAATAAGGGGACAGTGCTCACTTCCAAGCTCCACATGGGCTGGAGTCATACTGAAAACAAAAGGATAACCACCATTCCAAAACCGTGCCACCCGTCCCCCCAAACTCCTTACTCTGTCCCAGTGCTGAACCCCATCTCTACCCCATCCTCATACCTGCTGCCGTCGGTACTCTGCCTCACTGGCTGACAGTGCTTGTGCTAAAGCTAAGTCTTCTTCCTCCTGAGAACTGGGAGAGAGGAACAGCTTAAGTTGGATGACAATAATATCTAAAATGTAAGCATCTTATCTGTTAGCCATCATTGAGCTGAACACTTTGAGTATTATTTCAATCTCTACACAACCCTACAAGGTAGGTATTAATATAGTCCCATTTTATAGAGGAAAGTAAGCCCTTAATGGGTTAAAGGACTTGTCAAAGGTCATATAGTTAGTAAGCTTAATTTGGGCCTGAGTTCCTCACTATTATCTTGTAAAAGTTCAGAGTGGCTCCCACCTACCACCTTCCAGAGTCCTTGCCTACATCCCACCCTCTTCACTAGAGAGTAAGTACCTTGGGACCTGAGGTTTGGTCTCTGCCAGGGACAATTCCAGGGCTCGCTGCAGAGCCTCATCCTCACTCTATGAAAGGAGAAACAAGACCAGTTGCCTTGTACTTTACTCTGTGTGGGTTTGCTTCTGTCCTTCCAACCTCTGCCCAACTCACCAAGCCATTCTGCAAAGCAATCACTGGAGGGGCAGTCCATGACGGAGACTGGGCTGTGGCTCTAAGGCAGACATTCAAGACACGAGGTAAGGCATGTGAAGGGAAAAAAGGGAGAGAAGAAACAGGCAGGCCTACCTGCTGGGAGAGGTAGATGAAGGCAAGGTCCGACTTGGGCTGGGGATGGTGCTTGTAGAAGCCAGACCTTGTGCTCTGGAGATGGCAGCAAGTCTGTAGGGAAGAGACACTCTTGGCATGTCTCCAAGAGCAGCCAGCTTGCATGCTCCTCCCAGGCCTTACCCTGGAAGTCAGGAGGGGAGTTCCTCCAAACAGTCTGGAAAATTATGCACTTGAAATGGAAGTTAAGACTCCCTCAGTCAAAGGGGACAGGGTTCAAATTTCCCAGCTTGTAATAAAGGCCGAGTCAGTTCCCGAAGGATAGGATGGTCCCAAAGGCAAGTAGAAGACTTGGCTGCAATTACCCTGCCAGGCTGGTTGGGTGCCCCTCCCCAGAGCAATCATGGTCCAGTGGGTGACGATGCTTGATGCAGAAGTTTCGGCCACAGCGTTCACAGGTCAGTCTCATCATTTCCCGCTGCCGGCAGCCAGTGCGTTCACACTTATTGGTGAAGATCTGAGGTGGAGTTGGGAAGGTTTGTCTCTGCTGAGACTCTGACCCCCTTTTCCAAACCAATTAAGAACAGCCATTCAGGTTTCTAGGCATCCATAGGCCCAGCTGGGCCATGGCCAACCCCTCCAAAGCTTACCTTACGTTTTTGCTGTGCTGGATCAGAGCGACAGTCTCGGTCAATGTGCTCCCCCACAGCACGGTCAGGGGGCTCCCCTCTGGCCACAGGCACAGGCACATTACAGAGTGGGCATACAGGTACTTGGATATCCTATATTTAAGGAACAGGGTTCAGTCCGTGATCCACTTCCACTTCAACCAAATCTCTGGTCCTGAAAGAAACTCAGAAAGACAATAAAGGAGAGAAAACAGGAGGCAGAGGGATTGGGAGATTATGCATGCATTCTCCACCCACCCCCTTTTCACCCTCAGACCGCCCCTTCACCTTTTGGTAAGCAGATCCACAGTGATGCTGAGCATAGGCCACATGGTCTGCACAGAAGATGCCCGAGCAGGCGTCGCACTTGAGCGGCAGAAAATCTGCAGGGAGTATGTCAGATTGCAGGTCCAGCGGGACCCTGACATCGTTCCGGGTTAGTCAAGCCTTCCACTCAGAGGGAGGAAATCACCACCTTGTTTGCAACAAACCACCCGGGCCCTAGTCCACTATCCTTAGCCACGCCCCCTGACACCACCCCAACTTCGAGCCCCGCCCCTCCCGGCAAGTCTAGCCCCCGGAGCCCACCCTTCACTTCACCTGCAGCTCCAAGCCCCTCTCCACCCAGCCCCACCCCCTCGCGCTTCGCCCCTCACCCAAGCGCTGACAGCTCGGCTCGGAACAGTGAGCCCCGAGGTCCGGAAACTCCATCGCCGGGCCGGGCGGGGCCTGCTGGGAGAAGAAGAAAGTGATGCTGAAAATCCCTACGGCTCCCGCTCCGGGTCCGGACCACAACCCTACACTCTGGAAGGGGCTTCCTGCCCCTCCCCTCCTCTTCCTCTTCCCCGCCCAGCCGGGGTTACCAGAGTCTGCGCCTCCCGGCCCTAGGCTCCCACTCCTCCCCCGACGCGCACGGGCGCACTGGCGTCATCGCGCAGGGCGGGCACGTCTCGCGCAGACGCGGGCGGCCGGAGGAGCGTCGCACGGAGCCGAGCCCCGCCCGCTGTTGCTCCTGAAGGCTGGGACCTGGGTTGGTGCTGCGCCGAGGGCGAAAGGGCTGGCGAAGGCGAGAACGGGTGGTATGTTGGGGAAGGAGGGCTGAAGTGGTTTGGGGTCTTTCGCAAGGCCGTCCTCCGCCGTTTCTCACCCTACGCCTAGCCATTTCGTTCTCGGCCGCGGTTGCACTTAACAGATTTCTCTCCAGACCTGTACAGTCGCCCTCGCCACTTCGCGCGTCGACTATCGCGGCTCTTTCGAATACAGAAGAAGCCGCGAAAGTGGACGCGCGAAGCGGCGAGGGACGACTTATATAAACAAAGAGTCCTACTTCGCGGACATTCCTTTATTGCGGTAGAGCCTGGAACCCGTTAACCGCGATAAACGAGGGCCGACTGTAGCTCCTTCCTCCAGGCTTAGCTCTGATGCCCTTTCTGTGACTCCCCTGACCGTCCCCAGTCTGAGCTAAGCACAATCGCTATGTGATCTCCCTGGTTCTATTCTAGCACCCACATCATCTTGTTGTAATCAGCCGTTCACACACAAATATACTGGGAAGTCATAAACCATGGCTACCTGGTTCTGTGTCAGGTGCCTAGAACCGTGTGACTTCAGTGTGAATGCGAATTATTTGCAGAGCTGGTTTTAAATGCAGATTCCTGGGTCCTGGAGATTTTGATTCAGTAGGAAGCACACAGGTTATCCACATACTACTCTTTGAAAAACACGAACCTTGCTCTGGCCGGTTTGGCTCAGCGGTTAGAGTGTAGGCCTGCGGTCCGGAGAGACCCAGGTTCGGTTCCTGCTAAGGGCATGTACCTTGGTTGCAGTTTGTCCCCGGTCCTGGTTGGGTCATGTGGGTGGCAGCCACTCGATGTGTCCCTTTCACGTCGATATTTCTTTCTCCCTCTCCCTCTATCTGAACAAAAAATGGAAAAATGTCCTCGGGTGAGGATAAAAAAAAAGAAAGAAAAACACGAACCTTGAATATTTTGAGTGCTTATTAAATATTTATGGAATGAAGCATGAGAGCCACTGGACTGATGTCCTGCTTTATCTCAGGGAGCTTCTTCAGCTTCTGCACACTTAGCTTCTCACTTGCCTCTCTAGCCTCTCATGCCAGTGGGTGGTCGTGCTCTGTCTTCCCATAAGTTTTACCATGGGAACAAGTAAACAGGTGGAATAAGCTCAGAGTTGAGCAGTGTCCTCCAAAAGGGAGGGATAACCCAGGCCACAATTGGAAATGAGGAGACACTTCTCATTCTTCCCATCTCTCTCTTCTCCAACTTTTGGCTCCATTTCCTTATGTATTTGCTTCTTCCATCCTCACAGCTCTTACGCCAGTGGAAATTAAAAACATTTTTCCGCCCTGGTCAGTTTGGCTCAGTGGTTGAGCGTCGGCCTGCAGACCAAAGAGTCCTGGGTTCGTTTCCTGCTAGGGGCACATACCACACACACACACACACACACACACACATTTTTCCTGAGTCCTCAAGCAAAAGGCCTAATCTCAACTCTGACTGTGCCCATTGCCTTGACTTGGAGCACCTGCCAAGCCCTGACCTGTGGCCCTATGGCTAAGGTATGTGGGTCAGGCCTGAGTCTCATCTTTGGAGGCAGTCAGCTCCACCTAAAATGAAAATCACCCCGCTGGCTTAGACAATCCTTCTAAAAAATTCAAGAGAATCCATTCAACTAATTTCTTTCTTCATTCAACAATATATTGAGTGTTCTCCGATATGCCTGTCACTGGATGACACATTCAAACAAAAAAATGTACAGGGTAGTATGGCAGTACATTTCAGGTATCCCATTCCGGGGTTGACAAATGTTATTCAAGCCAAAACCTGAGGGGTGAGGAGATTTTGGGAAGGTGAAGTTCAAGAGAGAAAGGAATAGGGTGGAAGAAGATGGTATTCCAGGCAGAGGAAACAGGGACAAACACTTGAAGATAAGAGAGAACAAGGTCCTGTAAATGAGCTTTAAGAAAGCTTAGGGCAGTCTGGTGTGGCTCAGTCGTTGAGCGTTGACCCATGCACCAGGAGGTCGCTGGTTCAATTCCTAGTCAGGACACATGCCCAGGTTGTGAGCCCAATCCTCAGTGGGGTGGCATGCAGGAGGTGGCCATTCAGTGTTCTCTCTCACTGATATCTGTCTCTCTCTCACTCTCTCACTTCTTCTCTCTCTAAAATCAGTAAAGGAAAAAAATAAAAAGAAAGCTTGGGGCATCTGAATCTTATGGTATCTGAGTCAGGCTAGAAGGGAAATGAAGCTGGAGAGTTAGCAGAGGCTCAGGTAGTGGAGGCCACATTAGTTTGAAAATTTTAAGTAAATATAATGAGAAACTATAAATAACTTTAAGCAGAGGAATGACATCAGATTTTTAGTTTAGGAAAGTCACTCTGGCTTCAGAGTGGAGACGAGATTGGAGGAAGTATGAGATTAGAAGCAGGGAGACCAGGTAGGAGGCTGTTGGCTGTAAACCAGGCAAGAAATGATGATGGCCTGAACCAGAATGGGGACAATGCTTATAATTAATGAGAGCTCAGTAGAGAGGTTAGATATGAGATAGATTTTTTTAAAAATAAGTAACTTTCAAGTGTGTCACTGTAAGAATAAAATGGAAAAAATAAATAAATTCTATTTCTAGGCCCTGGCCGGGTAACCCATTTGGTTAGAGTATCACCCTGATATGCCAAGGTTGCGGATTAGATCCCCATTCAGAGCACATGGAAGAATCAACCAATGAATGCATAAATAAGTAGAACAACAAATTGATGTTTCTCTCTCTATCTCTTTAAAAAAAAATCTGTTTTCAGAGTAATCACAATGTACACATGGTCCCCAATTTATGATGATTTGACAGTGTGTTTTCAACTTGATGATAATGATCAACAGAAACTGGCTAGGCTAAGCTATGATGATCAGTAGGTTAAAGGCATTTTTGACTGAACGATATTTTCAACTTACAGTGGCTTTATAACCCCATCACCAATTGAGGAGCATCTGTATTCAGAACAATTTTTAAAACGAAAAATAACAACCCTATTTGCAAGAAACATGTTGACCTACTTCTATGCAAAAATTCAACCAAACATTCAGTTAGTATATGGAACACCTTTGACCAGTCCTTCAGGGAAATTCTGGCAGCTGCTTCCTTTATACTCATTCCCTGAGGTAGGCCCTGGGCAGCCATGTTTCTGCCCCTGCCAAAGTTGATTGGTCTGGGAGTGGTTATCTGACATATATATATTGGGCATCAAAGTTTGTGTTTCCCTAAAACCATAGTCTGAGACAAGGATTTGGGTGCAAGGAACTCATGTGGGAGGTAATCCTAGCCAGAGGAAGGAGACGGGGAGGAAGGAAAACCAATAGAGTGTTATTGAGCTGGTTACCACTGTGGTAATTGGAGCACATTTCCACTGGGAACCCTAGGTGCAATTATATGGAATGTACCTCAGAATTGCCCCTCTACGGGTCAGGAGGCTGGGCTGACTTCTGCCTTCCATAAATTGGGAGTTACTGCTGGGGTTGACAACTCCCCATGCTTACCTTGCACAGCCAACCTGCACCTATGTTTAAGCTGACAGAACTGCAGAGTCTGGGGAAAGCCCCAGGACAGAAATCCTGAGGCTGGCCTTTGAGATGGGAAGTGGTGGAAGCTCAGAGGAACTGTCCACAGCAGCAGCTGAAGTTAGAAATAGGCCAAGCAGAAGTGGCCCAGAACATCAAGAACACCTGCTATATTTGACCGGTCAAAGTCTTTACTGGGAGTTTGAGACTGAGGCCAAGAAATCAGTGTTCATAATACCACTGGGCCTGTAACATAAGCTAGGAGATGGCCACTTACCCTACTGCCATACCGTCATGTTGACTGAGGGACAGGAAGAGATTGTTATCTGCAATACTCTGACTGATGGGACACAGTGAGCTCCATACAGATAGATTGATTTTATAGTTCACACACATGGATTTAAGTTACATCATTACCTGACTCTTTTGTCTCCTTCCAAAGTCTACAATCTCCAACAAAACTGTGGCTAACTGCCATTACTTCATCAGTTTCAATTTGTCTTTTTAAAGATAGTTATAAGTCATCTAGCCCAGCTAGTGTGGCTCAGTGGTTGAGCATCGACCCATGGACAAAGAGGTCGCAGGTTTGATTCCCAGTCAGGGCACATGCCTGGGTTGTGGGCTTGATCCCCAGTGGGGGGGTATACAGGAGGCAGCCACTCGATGTTCTCTCTCATCGATGTTTCTCTCATCAATGTTTCTCTCTAAAAATCAATAAAAATATATTTTAAAAATATATAGTTATAAGTCATCCCAATAGATTCCAGATACTGTATTTCTCAAGGCTTTGTCAGAATCTCTGGTCACAACCTGAAGTAAGGCTAATGACATGCAGGAGACTTTTAATCCAAGTATGCACCTAAGGGCCATCTGCCATAAGGATTCAGCTTTTGGCCTAGGCCTTTTAGAAAGATAGTTATTGAATAGTTTGTCATTTGTGAATCTCAAGACTCCATATCTGTTAAATCCAGCACTAGTTCTGTTAGATTTTAAATTATGAAATGGCCAATATTTGACTTTTTTAATTAAAAAAATAATTTTGTATGGTTTAATCTAAGCAGCACATATCACAGTCAAGAATTATTTTTCTGACTCTAATCTTTAGCCTGCTGAGTTTTGAAACCCAGACATGACAGCAGTCACTGTCTGAAAATGTAGTTTAAAGTCCACATACCTTAAAGTCAGATGTGCCCAGTTTCTATGTACCTTAGCCCTTCAAACTTTCACCATTTCCTACTAATCATGTATAAGAAGAAGGTATTAAGTAGGACATAGGTTACACTTTCGTAACAGGGGCTCAAAATGACAGGGGCATAAACAAGAAAACAGTTTAA